CGGCCACGCATCACGTAAGTATGCAGTGCCGTCTAAATGGTGTGGCTCGCCACCGCACCTGTCAGTCAGAGATGCACTTCTCGGCTCGCAGCTTTCGGCACGCTGGTCTTCCACACCCACCGCGTCTGCTCTGGCGCGCCACGCTCCTTCTCCGCCCGCTTCTCGCTGCGCTCTAGGAATGCTCGCCTGGATGTCAAAACTTCGCTCCCGCACCTGGATGAGCACCCAGCGCCTGCTAGTGGCAACAACACGAGAAAAACGTTTCATTCTTCGCCGTGCTGCGGCAACAACGACAATATTTTATTAAACTACACATAATATTACATATAAAATATATTACATAATATATATTTATGTTTTATATATTATATTATTTGTTTAGTATTAGATTTATGTTTCATTCCTCACATCACTTTATTTCTCAACGCTTCATCTCATAAAAACTTTTCTAAACAAATGAATGAATTCTAATGACAAAATGTATTCTAGATTCGTTTACATTTTTACGTGAAATCGGGTAGACTGGGCAGTATCTGGTTATAAATTAGTGGGCTTGATAGGCAAGCAGGTGGGAATATAGTGATGACACTCCGCCACGGCCCTTGTCGCACGCTCCGCCGCGGCCCTTGTCGCACGCTCCTTCGCGCACGCTCCGCCGCGGCCCTTGTCGCACGCTCCTTCGCGCACGGTCCGCCGCGGCCCTTGTCGCACCCTCCGCCGCGGCCCTTGTGATCGTAAATTCTGTCGTTTGTTGCAGTTTCGAAACTGGCTTCACGGGGAGAATCTGGCCAAGCATCAGGCGCAGATCCGGGACATGATGAAGGTGCGCCGGCTCTCCGTCGCCACGGTTACGTGATCGTGCGGCGCGAGCGCAATCCGAACATCTTCTTGTTTTATTTTGTAGTGATCAGTTCTTGGAGTTCAATTGGAATTTTTAGTGAATCTGAATGATTTATTGAAAATAAGAGTAGTTATAATTGGTTAGTTAATTATTCTACACTAATTGTTATATTTTTTAATTGGGTTAACAGCTTGGGTCTGATGAAATCGAAAGTAGCTCTACTTTTGCTGTAGTGGAGGTGATCGTTTTTAATCGTTTTTTTTAATCAATGCTACTATTTATATACATGTTGCTAGGCACTGTTAGAAGTGGCAGGCTCCGACGTTAATGCTACCGTGGAGACAGAATCTGCAATGGAGATTGTGGATCCAAATGGTAATAAAAGATCAGAGCACCTTTGAAGTAGTTCACTCTTACCTCCGCGTCTAGTAATTCACTCGCTACAGCCTATTCCTGATAACTTTATAACTAAAATAAAGCATCTGTCAGCAGTAAGAACAATAAGCCGCTCACACTGATAAGCATGTTGAGCATCTGTTACCGATTAAAAATAATGGCGGTAGTAATCGCTGTTAAGTAACCGGCGTCGCTAGCGGTAACGTCAGCATCCGTTCGTCCGTCTGTAAAATAAGAACTAATAATATGGATGCAGATAATGCAGATGAGCACTTTAGTTCAGATAACTCGCAGGTCAGACATGATCTTTACATCATCTCAATCCCTCTTGTGTCGCTCGCAGATAAGAAGCGGGCGGTTCACCTGCTCGTTGAGTGCACTAACGAGGAACCGCAGCTCGTCGACGGCAGCAAGCGCTCCGAACCCGCGCTGCGGCTGCTGCTCTCCTACACTCCCGAGCTGGACGTGTACGACGGCGGTGGCAGCACGCCGCTAACGACCGCCATCGCGCTGCTGAAGGAAGACGCGGTCAAGCTGCTCGTACGTGCTGTTGTTGTTGTTGTTGTTGTTGTTGTTGTTGTTGTTGTAGGGAGGAGATGATCAAAGTGTTAATACGGTTTGTATCAAAGCTTTATACAGTTTGTATCAAAGGCTGTTGATACAGTTTGTATCAAAGCTTAATACGGCTCCCTTCTCGTGTGCCACGAACCACATGCGAGAGGTGCTTAGCTGAAATCGAGGCCGCCACGAACGAATCAAAGTTGTTAATAACGGTTTAGCTGTGGTGAAGGTATCAGTGAATTGAAATAACAGCCGGCTTAACATGTGGTGTGTTGATATGAGGATCAAGACAAGAACAGCACCTCGGACGTTTATACCCTGTGTGAGTAGTGCGCGGATTTAAACGCAGTCGGCTAGAACTACGGTGTTGAGTATGATTGAATAGGGGTGCACCGAGACGGTAACGTTACGGTTTCGAGTACACTAAACACGCCGGATGGGGATAACTTCTGGGTTTGAAATATAAGGTTACCACCAGCTAACGTCACTCACGGGCGCGCCGCTCTGCACCGGAACGTGAAACCACACTATTGTAAGGCGACCGAGAGAAAAAAAGTTTGCATGTGGCCGAGACGTCAACCGCAGACGTTTCTTCGGTCTCGAGCTTTGGCTGTTCATGTGTCAGCGAACATAGCAGGTGGTTTATAGAGGCACGTGTCAAGTTACGAGCCAGAACCACACGCACTATCGCCAAGGTGAAGTTTCGAGCAGGGGAGTAACTGGAATGATATCGAGCGGGTTGCAAACTATACTTTGCAGCCAGCGAGAAGACGGTGACCATGCCCTTGCCCTCATGAGGCTTCTCTCGACAGCAGGTGTTGAGATTGCATCTCGGCATCCAACTGCAAAAAGTATCCAAAAATTTACTACAGTAGCAGCAATAGCATTAACGACGAATAGTGTTACTGCGGAGCAATAGAAAGGTGATTACTCAACAAGATGCCTCACGTCTTTTCCAAAACTATATAACACAACCAACTGAAGGAATAATAACAATAAATATAAACCTTTAGTAAAAAAAAAAAAACAGTAATTGGTATGGCTGGCAGAATGATGTTTGGTGGCAACAGTAATAACACCCAACCCAAACCGACACAGAACAACAAGAAAAACAACAAGAGCTAAGAGTAACAGCAACACCACCGGACCATACCACCACCACACCAACCACCACAGCTTCGCTGGCACCACGCGCTCCAAGCACCTGATCACCACCACACGCGACGTACGCGCGCGCGGCCACCAACACCACAAACAACAACATACAACAACTCAACAACAACAACAACAACAACAACACAACAACAACAACAACAACAACAACAACAACAACAACAACAACAACAACAACAACAACAACAACAACAGCACGCGCCGCGCCGCCCGGGGCCGTGGGCCGGCCGCTGCCACTGGCCACCACCAACCACCCTCAATCCCAACAACAACAACAACAGCGCATCACTATCACCACCACCAACACCTATCCACCAACAACAACAACAACAACAACAACAACAACAACAACACAACCACAACAACAACAACAACAACAACAACAAGCAACA